GATATGAATATCTATGATTTACGATAGGTTTCTATGGATTATTCCACTTTTCTCCATGATTATGTTGATATGCATTCCATTTATTATTACTACCAATAGTATTATTTGACCAACTAAATTTATGGTGGTTCCTCCAAACTGAATTATAAGTATTGAAATAGGAATTATTTTGTATTCTAATTAAATTCGCATTCACAATCCCCTGCTATTACTATCATTCATTGAATTTAAATTATGCTCTTCCACTTGCATAGATAATTCTGATCCTAACCCTGAACTAACTCCAATAGTATCTAACTTCTTAAAATTTGCAACATGTGCAGTTAAAATGGATAATACATTTGATTCATACACATCAGCTACTCTCTTAGGATTCATCTTATCAGTAGGCCACTAAAATTTTTTTGTAGTAATTTCCTCGATAATTCATATACATCCTCAAATGACTTAGATATTAAATATCCTCCAGCTGCTATATCTACGATTGACCTAAGGCATCCTACCAATTAATTATAAAAAGTTAGAATAACAACCCAATCATGTAAAGTATGATGAAAGCATTTTGTAAGTATTTTCTTAAATCTCTCCTAACTTTCATAAATTGAATCTCCCTCAAATTGGGCAAAAGAAGTGATATCATGCATATGTTTTGAATTTTTTTTAAGGTGTGAAATACTTAGCTTGGAGTTTGTATGCCAACTCATTCCAAGTGGTTATAGAGCCCGAGGAAAAGGACTTCAATCACATTTTAGCTTTGTCCCTTAGAGAAAAAGTGAATAATCAAAGTCTAATAGCATCATCGTTGACACCATTGTACTTAAATGTTACACAAATTTTTAAGAAGCTAGCTAAGTGTAGGTTAGGATACTCAATAGGAGTTTTTCCAAACTAGAAATTTTAAATCATCTGAATTATGATAGATTTCACTTCAAAGTTATTATCATACTATCTAAGAGATGTATGATGATTTTGGTCTTATACTAGTTTAGACATCTCTAAACTCTATTTATTTTTTAAATTTTGTAAGGGTCCTTTCTATCTTAAAAATAAATAATAAGTGCCCCCTTACAAGTCTACTAAGCATACAATAATGATGCAATAAAATAAGAATTAATCTAACTAATCAACATGATACTTTTTTTATTTTATTTTTTAAAATTTAACAAATGTAGTAAAAAATAAAGATACATGGTACAAGTAGGTCTAAATATGCAATTAGTTCAATAATATAGTTTAAAAATTATAATGCACATGTTACTTACTTGACAACGGTGCAAAAAATTTTATTGTGGGGCATGTGGTTGGTTTTTGTTGGACTTGAGCTATGTAAAATGAATATGCCTAGGTTTTCTTTGATATAAAAATATATATTTGATATAAAAATAATGAAAGCATCCTAAATATGTAAGTATAAGTTTCAACTAAGTAATAAAGTGATAGAGAAGAGTGTCGATCCCACGAGGAAAACTTAGAGATTTAGTCAAACATATATAACAAAAAAACTAATTTCATATTCATTTCATTCATATAAAAAAAGATATAGGATAATTAGTAAAGGTAAATGTCGTCTGAAGGATCAATTGATATTCTCCACACTCATTCCTCCAACAATAGAATTTCTTATACAACATAGGTTAAGATTTTTTAAATAAAAGTATTTAGCACATTCCTAGCCTCCCTTAGACTATACTTTAAGAGGGAACTAGAGGAAGACACTCAAAAGTATAAGACTCCACTTTGAATGACTAAACTCTCTAAATAAAAAATATTTTAAAACTATTTATGCAGGTGTAAAAGTGGACTTTGGCACCACGGTGTCAACATGGTGACACCACGGTGGTATAATATGAACTAGTGCTTCTACGCTCTACTGCTTGCTCTGTAGTAGTGTTGTGATGACCTATCACGGTTAATGGTCAAACGGTTGCAACTTTTAGCTGAGTTAACGTGACTCCTCATTTTGGAAACTGCTCCATCACTACATTATTAAAGTTGAGTGCTGCAATGCTTGAAAGTATAATATGGTTCTATGCCGTTGTGATGATCGGTGCTTTGGTGTTCAAGTTCATGAGAATCCAGTGTTGCGGTGTGAATTTATTGCACAACGGTGTTGTGATGTACTCCAACATTGATCTTTACTCTATCATAGCACTGATCTTCTCCAAAATTTTGAGTAATTGGCATTGTAATGTCTGAATTAGGCGCGTGGGTACTGTAGATTCCAATGCTGTAGCGCTCATTAATCACTTGTGATTTTTTTCCTTTTTCTTGAATAGTTCCTACATAAAAATAACTAAAAAGTAGGTTTTCATTAAACTTTAACATAATAAATATTACACAATTTACATTTAACAATTTGCTCAGAGGAGTTATATAGATGTTTGACATGTGTCCAAAGCTATTATGCAACAAGGAGGTGGCATGTGCAAAGGAGATAATGACCTTTAATTATTTTCATGGATGGGAAAACTTGGGTTTGGCCTGGGTTAAGCTAAGGCATGGTCTGGGTTCATGAGGAGTTTTGGAAGATTTCTAAAGTGGGTTTGGGTTGAATGGGCTATTTAATGAACTTTTTCCATTAAGTGTTGTTTGACTATTCAAATGGTTTGATTGGTTAAACTTGGTCAAGTCACCTAGGGTGGACTATGGGAACCTTTTGGCACTATTTTGATCAAGTTTTGTGGTTTAGGCTTAGGAGGGTTGATGTTTATAAAGAAGGGAGCATTTATGCTTGTGTTTAACCAATTTAGTTGAGTTGACCAAGTCAACGCATAATGGGTTGACTCATGTAGGATTTAGGTGCGTTTAGGATGTCAATTTGATTAAGCTTGGGCAATGGTAGGAACATAATTAACCATATGCAATGGTATAACCCGAATTGTTCTGGTTTGATCAATTTATGGTTTGGTTGACCAGGTCAACATTCGAACAGGGAAGGTAGACCAATGATGAAGGAATCATTTGGAACTTTAAAAGACTTAATTTAGTGAATATTGATGAATAACTGGGTTTGTAATAGGTCAATGTAGGGGTTTGATTAATTAAGCTAGCTTGAGCTAGCTCAATCAGGTCAAATGGGTCAACCTATGGCTTGGGAAGCTAGGTTTGATGGGTTTAATATTTGGAGTCCTATGATGATTGTTAATGCAATGATTGAAGTCAATTAGCCAGTGTGATGTAGAGTACAACCAACTAGACATGTTGTATATAAATCAAGATTTTGAACAGATTGAAAGGTGTTTGAATTTAGGTTAAGGAGTTTGGATTTTTTTTATTATTATTTTTTTAATGAATAGGTATAGGGCATCTTGGCTAGTCATTAGACCCAAGGCATGATGATGTGCTCAGGGATTTAAGGTTTTGAATGACCTCAGCTGAAAATGATGCCAACGATAGATAACATATTAATATTAAAAAATGCAATTGTTTTACCTATACTCTCATTTTTCATCTCTGTAGGTGTGAAAGTGAACATTTACAGAACATATTCTTTAATGATCTCGCAGGTGAAAAAAAATGCTAGTCACCTAACGACTTCAATCAAGCATCAAGTTGATATTGACCTTTACATCCTTTATCTTTACTATTTTGTTCTTTCTTGAGTGTTACAAACAATTTCTTGTACCATTTTTTGAAACCTCCATCTGTTACAAGAATGAAGAATTGTAGAGCTAAAAGAGAAGTGAGAAGTTAAAGGAAATTCATTTGAGCAATAAACATTGATATCTTATTTATAGGCTAAATATCTACTATCATTTACAAAAGGATAATATCTAAAGTCAAAATCAACTTGAGTGTTAAATATCTAACATTAAAAATAATATTTATGAATGATATATGAATAAGTAGAAAGGAATATTCTTTATATTATCTTGTTTTTTTTTACAACAAACCTCCAAAATATATAAGAGAATCCAGAAAGTGAATGTACAATCAAATATTTTTGTAAAATCTAGTTTAGGCGAAGTCAACCTAGATTAAGACAAGTTAGCCCAACATATGCTAAGTCAACTCAACTCATTTTGTTTTGGTTAAAAAAAAACTCATTTCAAGTAATCAACTACAATATAAGAACTTATGCCAAGTAGACGAATACGACTTATCAATAGGCCCAAGCGAATAAGATCGTTGAAGTTAGGCCTTGAGACTACTCAAGTGGGCGACTTCCTTTTTATGAGAAATTATTGACCAGTCACAATCCATCAATACCCAATTAAGTGACTTTTAATGAGCTTGCCCTATGATTTCATTACGTAAAACATTCAAATTAAGCTATTATATAGCTATTTATCATTCTAAGTTATTTTCTATCTTTTTTTTGTTTTAAATATATCATTCTATTCTTTTATCATTTTTAATCTCCAAAATTTTTTTGTCTACGCCGAGGATTACACTGAGAATGAGAGACTCTCCTTAGCCCAATTACATTCTATTGTTTGTGAGCACTTTATCTTAACCCTTAATAGGGGTGTCAATATTTGACACGACCCGAAAACCCGACCCGAAAAATTTCGGGTTAGGGTCAACCCTAACCCGAAACGGGTCGGGTTCATCATTTCGACCCGTTTCAAAAATCGGGTCGGATTCGGGTTAACCCTTTGACTCGAAATTGACCCGAAAGTGATCCGATTTTGACCTGAAAACCCGATTTTGATCCGGCAACCCGAGATTGACCCGATTTTGACCCGTTTTTGACCCGAAAAGAGGAGATTGACCCATTTTGACCTGAAAATTAGCCATTTTTTTGGAAATGGATCATTCGGGTCGTGTCGGGTTGACCCGGACCCGAAGCAGGTCAGGTTCGGGTCAGGAAAACTGACCCGTTTTAAAAAACGGGTCGGGTTCGGGTTGACCCGAATAGTGCCGGGTCAGTTTCGGATTCGACCCGAACCCGACCCGTGACCCGAAATTGACACCCCTAACCCTTAACTTATCTTCTCAACATGCATATGTAAAAATCAACAAACCACTATTAGAGAATAGGAGGGGGAACACTTCCCTTCTGAACCATCGACGCGAACCATCGACGCGAACGGAACATTTTTTCACTGCCCTACTCTTCATACATCATGTCGCTCTTCCTGTTCGTTGTCTCACGGTTCCGAACCAAGCCCCCTTTTCCACTCTCTCGTTCCGCTTTAATCGTTGGATGGATTCATTGAATCTACCGTTTGCTCCGTGGTTGTAGTTTGTATGAGCTCTCTGTCAGGCGTTGCTCACTCCGCCCGCCTTCGCTTCACCTGCTCCCTTCTTCCCGACCACTTTCTCTCTCTTCCCCCGTCCCAAGCCCTGCTTCTTTTCTATTTCTTTCGGAATGAACGACCTCCGGGTTAAAGTGGCACAGGCTGTTCACGTGCTGAACCATGATGCTCAGTCCTCTAACCGCGTTGCCGCAAATCAATGGCTTGTCCAATTCCAGAAGATGGATGCCGCATGGGAGGTCGCCGCCTCCTTTCTCACTTCTTCTAGCGATCCCATCATATCCTCCAACTTCGAGGTCGAATTTTTCGCTGCACAAATCCTCCGCCGCAAGGTGCCTCATCCTCCTCCGAAACTCCATTTTTTCGCTTTATCGGCTCCTTACGTGCTTAGGCTTTTCATTTAATTCTTATGATCAGATCCAGAACGACGGCTACCACCTCCAGATCGGTGCCAAAGGTTCTTTGTTCAATGCTCTTCTCCTTGCTGCCCGCAGATTCAGCTTGGGTCCGCCCCAGGTCTCTCTCTCTCTCTCTCTCTCTCTCTCTCTCTCTCTCTCTCTTTCTCAACTCGTATTTGCTAATTCGATGTAGAAAGCTCGGATCTAGTTTCGTTGATTATTTTGATGTACTATCAATAAAAAAGAAAGTTTCAGTTTATGATATTATATATTGAAGGAGAAGTCCTTTTTGGATGCTCATGGTTTATGTTAACGCTGTCTGTTTGTTATTTTACCTGGCATCATCGCAGCTTTTAACTCAGATATGCCTCGCGCTCTCCGCACTCGTTTTACGGGCGGTGGAGCACAAGATGCCTATCGAGCAATTCTTTTCCAGCTTGAACGAGTTGCAGAGCCAGGAAAACGGCAATGCTGCTGTTCTGGAGATGCTTACTGTGCTCCCAGAAGAAGTTGAGGTCAATAATGGTGATGGTAGTATTGATGCGGGGAGCAGATTCCAATTCACGAGAGAGGTTTGCTGATAAAGTATTGCCTGTGTTTCAGCTACGTGAATTTATGGCCTCAGCTGATTAAATTATTGCTGTTGTGATTTGATGCAGCTTTTATCGCACACTCCCAACGTGCTGGAGTTTCTTTTGCTTCAGTCTGAACAAAATTTGGCCCTTTTACTTCAGTCTGAACAGAATATCAAGAACGGTACTACGCTTCAAGAAAAGAATAAGAAGATATTGCGTTGCTTGTTGAGTTGGGTGAGTCTGAGGCTTTTGCTTGTTGGGAGTGCTTATGGTGGATAACTTTGAGAATGCATTGCCCTCACAACTGATCGTTAGAATTGTCTGTAGTCCAGGTTAGCCATCAAAATGTGTCTAACAAGAAAATAGGCGATTTCCATTATTCAAATAAATAACCTCCAGGTCACAGACAAAAGCATCCTAACTCGAACTTCCCTCTTAATTGACATATATGGTGCACAGAGATTTTTACGGTGAATTTATGTTGATTAAATCATAAATTTTGTTGCCTCCTAATATTAGGGCTGTGGATTTATATCATCTTTATTATTATTATTATTTTTTGCATATTTATATTTTAAAATAATTTGTTGGGAGTGATTATGGTGGATAAGTTTGAGAATGCATTTCCATCACAACTGATCGTTAGAATTGCTTGTAGTCCAGGTTAGCCATCAAAATGTGTCTAAAAAGAAAATTGGTTATTTTTATTATTCATATTCATAACCTCCAGGTCACAAACATAGCAACCTGATTATTGCTACAACTTTTCCTCTTAGTTAACATATATGGATGGAAAAAAGTGTTTTATGGTGAATTTATGTTGATTTTTCAATAAATTCGGTTGCCTTCTAATATTACCGCTGTGGATTTATATCATATTTAATTGTTTTTCTTTTTTCTTGTATTTACATTTTGAAATAACCCCATGTAGTGGGACAAAGGCTTGATGTTGTTGTTGTTGTATTTATATTTTGAAATAAGTTGTTGGGAGTGCTTATGGTGGATAAGTTTGAGAATGCATTGCCCTCACAATTGATTTTTTGAATTGTCCGTAGTCCAGGTTTGCCATCACAATGTGTCTAAAAAGAAAATAGGCTATTTTCATTATTCAAATTCATAACCTCCTGGTCACAAACTAAAGTAACCTAACTATTGCTGCAACTTTCCCTCTTAATTTACATATATGGATGGCACAAAGTATACTATGGTGAATTTATGTTGATTTTTCCATAAATTTTGTTGCCTCCTGATCTTAGTGCTGTGGATTTATATCATATTTAATTGCTTTTTTCTGTTTATTATATTTGAAATAAATTGTGGGGAGTGCTTATGTGGATAGGTTTGAGAATGCATTGCCCTCACAACTGATTGTTAAAATTGTATGTAGTCTAGGTTAGCCATCAAAATGTTTCTAAAAAGAAAATAGGCTATTTCTATTATTCAAATTCATAATCTCCAGTTTCACAAACAAAATGCAACCAAACCTTTGCTACACTTTCCCTTTAAATTGACATATATTGGTGGCACAAAGAGTTTTATGGTGAATTTATGTTTATTTTTTCCATAGATTTGGTTGCCTCCTAATATTAGCGCCATGGGTTTATATCATATTTATTTTATTTTTTCCGTTTATTTATATTTTAAAATATGTTGTTATATTAATGAAGGTTGTCCAATTAATGTTCCTTTGTGAGCTGCCTGATGGTCTTTTTTGTAATCTAGTTCTTCCTGTTCATTCCCATGGTGATTCATATTATCGGTGAAGAGTTGTCATCTTCTCCTCATGATTTTGGTCCTAACAATATGAATATAATTATACTGTAGCCTATTGGATATAATTCACTTCTGCTACTTCTTGGAACAGTTTGCATAGATAATTATATCCACTTTCATTTTGTTATGTTGATTTGGCTTTGCTTCTCTTACTTGGCAAAATTTTTGTTATTCTTAGGTTCGTGTGGGTTGCTTCTCAGAGATTCATCCATCTGTTTTGCCAACACATCCACTCTTGAACTTTGTCTTTAACTCTTTGCAAGTATGTCAATTACACTTCAATCACAGCACTTCCTAAAATATTTTTTGTAACTTCGTATTTCTTCATTTAATTAAAATTTCTGCTTATGACAAAGGTTCCAACTTCATTTGATGTCTCAATTGAAGTCCTTATCGAGCTTGTTTGTAGGTATGAGGTATGTATTCAGATGCTTTTAAATTTAAGGAATTTCTCATAATAACTTGGTGTTGCTATTGTTATTACTGATCATGCAGAGTGATATCTTATCAGTATTTATTGTGCTTGCCTTTTCAATATACGCGTCTCTTCAGTTATTTTATGGTTTAGTATTGTAAAATGGTTCTATCATCAACTCAGACCAAGATACCGTTTGCATTGATTACCTTAGTAATGAAATGCAATATTTTCTGTAGTTCAGCTTATGCAAATACTCTAAGAAAGGTAAGTTTTTTTGTTTTTTACAAAGGCAAGTTAATACAGCTGCAATGATTGATTAAGTAAACAAGTTTATATTGCTCTCACTTTTATCTAGCTACTTTTAGAAGACAATCCCTTTATTTTGAAGAAACATAATGATTTGATTATGGAATGTAAAGAGCACTCAATCACATATATTCCTCTAATTTGACATTCCAAATACTCTTCAAGTATATTTGTAATGTTCTCTAATATATTTTTTCTTAACCATTTTTCCTGTGGACTTCTTAAGGATTCTAGAGTTATATTATTTATCATTTAATAAAGCACCTTTCTTCCATTATATGAAAAATAAGTTTATTTAAGAGACCAATACTTGCATGATCAAAATTATTTTTTGTGAATTAAAATTGTTGTGCGAGTGGCACAAACATAAAATTCAAGGACTATAATCTTAGTGTAATCAGAGCTTTTGCTTGTGTTTGCCTTTTTTTTTTTCTTGGTCATATGCTCTTATAGAGAGAAGTTTTACGAAGAGGCGTGAAATAGTAAACAGATAATAAGTATCAGTAAAAAAGTTTCCTATTGCATTATTAGGTTAATTAATCTGTAACGATACTTCTAGCTTTCTTATGATATGAAGGGCATACAAAAAGCTGCATATAAGGGTGTGCGTTTCTTTTACAATTGGAATTAAAGTAGTACAGTGGTGGGACTTTTGAGGATTTTGGATTATGTCATGGTTACGAGGGGTTATTAGGAGGACATTAGAGTTTGGTTTGTGATATGGTCGGCCAATGCTTGGAAACCAACAATGGCAGAGAGCAGCAATGGAGTGAAGAGGAAAGTAATAAAAGAAACTATGACAGCTTGATGTTCTCATTAAAGAAACTTCAAAGAATCACAAAAATGATTGAAGCTCTCAGCAAAGAGCTCAAATGGGGAAGAGGAAGAAATCAAACCATCTGCAAATTGTTGAAACCACAATTTTTTGTTTTCTTTAATCATCTTCATGTAGCTGTGTGGGATAAAGGCTTGATGTTGTTGTTGTTGTTTAATCATCTTCATGCTTGCATAACACTTGTGTGCATGGAGCATAACAAAGAAGTAACATGAACAATGACCTTAGCAATGGGGTGTCTAACCTTTGCATCGTTGCAAGTTGTTGACAGTCTTCTTCTCTCTATAATTTCATTGATAAAGACAATACCCTGTCCACCACTGGTTAGAGGTTGTGGGCATGTTGGCAATGCTAAAACTATGGAGCGGCTATACCCACCACTTCCTAATGATAACAAGGTTGCCAATAGGTTGTGGCTAAGTATGGTCGTCGGAGGTGAGTATTCTTCACCTAGAACATGGATCGATGATCAACATAGGGAGCCAAATTCTGTTCGAAGCAAAGATTGATGGCTCAAAAGTTTTCCGAACTTTGGCCGGTTCAAAGGTCAATGCTGAATCTTCAAGCCTAGTTGGATCAAATATCAATGATGAGGTTTTCATATTAATTTGATTGAAGATCAATGATTCTTAAGTAGTTCACCTGTATGTGTATGTGGGATTACCTACAGAATGCTGGCATACATTTTGTAGCTGATCTTATGACTACCTTGTCAATGTTTCTCCTTTACAACATCACCATGATGATGGTGGATATGTACCTAACAAAATAGATTACTGTATTTCATTTATCTTCATCCTATGTTGTCTTTTTGGTGCTACTACTTGTGTGTGCTTTAGATCACCGTTGTGATCCAAATGGTAGATGGGGTGCTCTCCTATGATGCTTAGGAGTGTATGGTTATGTGTTGTGAAGTTTAAATTTGAGTGGAAATAGGGTTTAAATTAGTAGTCGGCCAATCCAATTCCAGTAATTAGATAGGATCTGAAACCCTAGGTTCCAACCCTTATAACTTCTTCTCTAGAAGTCCAAATGATATGAAAAATCAAATTTAAGGTTAAGAAGTTAAGTTATGATATGTAGAATTTTATGATTTTTGATGAAGGCTTTATAATCTTATTTAAAATTTTTCTTAGACTAGTCTGAGATTTCTCCTTTTTGTCTTAAGTTTATAAGTGATTTAGGGCATTTAGAGTTTTAGAATTTAGTGAATAAGAACCCTAAATAAATGTGTAAAGATCAAATTTTAGGGTGCCTATTGGAGTCTAGTCACCTAATTGAATGCAATCTAAAACTAAATTAGTTTTGATCCAGTTTGACTGATTCTCACAAAAGCTTTCAAATGATTGGTTTGATTACTAGGAAAAAGTTTTTGGACTGGGTAATGATTAACTGGACAAAACACAAAAGAGAAGAAATACCAAAATAGAAAGTAAAGCAAGATTAATTTTACTACTCACCCAAGCAATAGCCCATAGAGTCTAAAAGTTTTCATTTGAGTAGATCTAAAATTGAATGTACGGAGTGTAATTTTAGTGCTTTTGATTCTCTGTTGCTACACCACTTAACTTGTAACAACTGTCTAATATTTCTTTTGGTTTTACTTTTTAACTAATCTATTGCTATTTGAATTTGAAGGGTTTGCCACAAGTTTTGCTATCTAGGATACCGTACCTGAAGGAAATACTTCTAATCCCAGCTCTTAATAGTAGAGATGAAAAAGTAATTGGCGGTTTTGCATGTTTGCTTTCAGAAGTTGGACAGGCCGTAAGTTTATTTTTTCTCGTTGTCACACAAGATTCTTCTTCAATTGATTTTAATTTGTTTCTGCGACATGCATGTGTAATATATATGAATTTTCTCTATAATGCAAGTACTTTATGCAGTTAAGTGCCTAATATTATACCGTGCTGTTTTATTAACTGGGGTATATAGTTCGAAAGAGTGGATTGATCATTTTAAGTGAACTTTCAGCTGTTTTTGGAAACACGACTGTTTAATTGTTCTTGTTCTAACATTAGGCACCAGCTTTGATTGCAGAAGCCAGTCCTGAAGCTCTTATGCTTGCAGATGCTCTACTGAGGTGAATATAAATTTCAGCTTAATGTTGTCATGAAGAAATAACATCTTTGGATTATTGTGTAATCCTTCTTAGCTTTTTAGATATCTATGGCATATAACAGGCAGTTCAAAATTTCTTGTTAATTTTATTATCATTATTCTCATTATGAGAGCTATATTGTGATTATTTGTATGCATTTCCTGACAGCTGTGTTTCCTTTCCGAGTGAAGACTGGGAAATTCCAGATTCAACCCTGCAATTTTGGTAATATATAATTCTTTTCTGCAGATGAACAATACTTAATCTGTAATCATGAAATTCATGAAATCAAATGCCTTAAGCTCTAAGCCGAGGTTATAGTATTTCTGGGATTTTATTTTACTGGAAAATTCTCTTTCCTTCTGTTTAATTTATTTCTGAACTTTTATGCATGCATCATACTTATGCATTAACCAAGGGTTTGTTTGAGGCAACTTTTTACTGCTTCACTTTTCCAATCTGCTAACACACTGTTGTTTAGATGCTATGTTTTTTCTGTTTTTTTAGAAATTTTATGACGAGAAGTAGCTTTTTATGACTAGATTTGTTAGAGTGCGGTAACTAAAAGAAAGCAGCTGCTCGGCTCTATCAAAATAAAAAAGTATTTGTAATACTCATTACAGTTAAAACAAGCTACTTTCCTATCAACAGCTCAGCAACAATTTTTATAAATAATTGTAGCCGCCTTAAACAAACCCTAATTTATGCTCTTCTTATGGTCATAATTTTCAATTTTCTACTATGTTATTGCCAGTTAAGAAAGGTAGAGGTAGTCCTAAAAAGACTTGGTTAGAAAATATTAGAAATGATATTTCTTTATTAGATTTAAATGAGAATTTGATTTTTATCAAGACACAATGGAGAAAAAGGGTTCATGTAGTCGTCCCCACATAGTGGGAGAAAGGCTTGATGTTGTTGTTGTTGTTGTACTACGTTATTTCCATGCGACCTGGTTACTCTTGGGTTTAATAAAGAAAGTACAAACTTAATTTGCATGTATGTTTTGTCTTTTTCATGGCTTTCTGATTGATCGGCTGCTTTGGGGATGATTTTAAGATGAGGTACATTTATTTAAATGATTTCTTAACCAGCTCTTGCATGGCCTTGTTCAAAAAATTATTTAAGCTTTTCTAAACTGAAATTTTATATGTTTTGGTCTAACGAGTCATTGGATTGATCTAAACTAAAACCGCATAATATAATCAACTCAATTATGAATTTACAACAAAATATAATCCTACTAATATTCCAACTATCTTGAGTGCTAGATTTTTTTTAACATTGTTTTTTATTTGTATTTAAACACCATATTGCACCTTGGATTTATGGAGATAATAATAGGCCTTGCCGGAAATTGGACCTAACCTTTATAGGATTGTCTTGTCGCTTGTGCTGTGTGCTAAATAAAATGCTCTAGCCGGGCAATGTTTGGGTTGGGTTGTGCTCATGCCAGTTTTGATTTTCCATCATCAACATTTTTAAGAACATGTGATTGTGAAGACTCTACCCATGTAGAACACAACAACAACAATAAGAAGCCTTTATCTCACTACGTGGGGTCGGCTATATGAATAATTTTCCTCCATTGTATCCTGTTAAGAGTCAAATTCTCATTTAAATCTAATAAAGAAATATTATTTCTAATATTTTCTAACAAAGTCTTTTTAGTAGGGCTGCAAGCAAACCAAACGTTCGATGAGCTACTCGTTGCTCAGTTCGATTAAAGCTTATTTGTAATCGTTTAATTAACTAAACATACAAACTTGAACAACATTTTTAATACTCGATCCTTAAATAAACAAGCTTGAACACTAATGTGTTCGGTTCATTTATGTTCACGAACAACATCATTTGATACTTGTGAACATGCTCGACATTATGCTCGATAAGAAGCTCGATTCGTGTTCAATTCAGAACTCGTGAATAAGCTCGATAAAAACTCGAATAATATTTAATTATAAAATATATAAAGATACATAATATAAATATTTTAATTTATTATAATATAATGATATAATTATTTTAATTAATAAATTTTAAATTAATTAAAAATTATTATATATATTGTAGTTTTAATTTCCTTACAAATGCTATTTTATTATATTACATCGTTAGATCTTGCTCGTTTGACAGCTCAGGAATACTCGTTAGATTTGTTCATAAACATACTTGTTTGATAGTTTAAAAAAATTTGCTAAATATGTTCACGAACAAGCTCGTTAAGGCTTGTTTGTTTAAAGCTCGTTAAGCAATAAACGAACCTAATATGAACCAAACATGAATCAAACATAAACACTATTAATTTAAACGAACCAAACATGAACCCAAACAATAAAGCTCGAATCAAACACGAATCGAACTTGAACAAGCTAATAATAAACGAACACAAACATGAACACTCACATACTTGGCTCGGCTCGGTTCGTTTGCAGCCCTACTTTTTAGATCTACATTTATCTTGTTTAACATAAGCCAAATATAATACATTTACTCTCAAATATATCTACCAATGTAGAACACCTTGTAAAAAAAATTATATAGGGCTTATTTGGTTTGAAGTAAAATGTTTATTCTAAATGCAGATGTTTTTAAAATGTTGTTGTTTTCTCCAGAGTAAGAAGAAATGTAGAGTAAAATTTTAAAGTATTTGGACTTCATCTTCTATTTCAATTTTGGTGTATTTGAAAATCATTCGATTTGAGTGATTTTCAAAGACATTATAAATTATGTGTCATTGTCATAGAGGCTTTAAAGATAATTAAGTATGAACAAGCAGTACGATTTGATGATATTTCAATATAAATGTGGAAATGTTTAGGAGATTAAGAAATTCTTTGGCTTACTAAGCTTTTGAATATTATTTTAAAGATAAAATAAAAATTACCAGATGAGTGAAGAATTGATATCTATTTTTAAGAATGAAGATGATGCATAAGAGTATACAAATTACATGGAAATTAAGTTAGTTTGTCATACATTAAAATTATGGGAGAGAGTAATTGAGCATAAGTTATGATGTGATACTAATGTTTCTCAAAATCAGTTTGGATTCATGCTGGGCGAGTCTAATACGAAAGTTATACATTTGTTGAGAGGTTTGATGGTGAAGTACAATGAGAGTAAGGAGGATCTACATATAATATTTGTTAATTTAGATAAAACATATGATAAAGTTTCAGTAGAAGTGCTTTGAAGAGTTATAGAAAGAAAGGATTTAATAATGCTTATATTCAAGTTATTAAGGATATGCATATATGAGCTGTTATTAGTGTTCAAACACAAGGTGGTTTGACCAAGTATTTCCCTATTTCAGTTGGATTACATGAAAGATTAGCTTTAAGCCTTTGTCTTTTTTGCTTAAGTTATGGATGCTCTTACCAAACATTTGCAAGATGATATACCTTTTTGTATGCTTTTTGTTGATGAAAATTTTCTTGTTGATAAGACTGGAGAGGGAGTCGATGGAAAGCTTGAATTATGGAGGTCAACCTTAGTGTTTAAATGTTTATGTTTTAGTAGATCTAAAACCAAATGCATGGAGTGTAATTTTAGTAATAATAAATCTAGTCATGGAATTTTGCATTTGGGTTAACAAGTCATCAAGAAGAGTGAACGTTTTAGATGCCTCGAGTTTATTGTTCAAAATGATGGCGAAATATATGGGGATATTGTTAGTAGAATTTAAGTTGGATGGTTGAAGTGGAGGAATGCATCAGGCCTGTTGTGTGATTGATAAGTAACCCTTAAATTAAATGAAAGTTTTGTAAGATGGTGATGAGACTAGTAGTGCTTTATGGCGCAGAATGTTAGCCTTTAAAAGAGAAACATAAAATTAACATAAGTGATGCTTACAATTCGATATCTTTCGAGTTTTACAATAAATTCGTTGTTATTGTTGTTAGTGATTTTTTCAGGTTGATCCGAATATGATCTAATTTATTTGAGTCATTTAAGCTAACTCAAAACTAACCCAAATTCTACACAACTTGACCTAAACCTTAATTTTGTGTGATGTTCTAGTTGGATTTACTTTTAGGTCTAATATTGACACCACGATAAAAAATTGCACATGTGATCTTACATAGATCGATGCTACACCCTAGTTTGAGGAGCCTTCAGCCTCTAAAAATTGACATACAAATTGTATCCCAATTGTTATTATCTGATTTGTCACATGTTGACTATCTTTCTACTACTTCCGACACTAAATTGTCATATAAATGCGCATTATGGCATAACATTGATTTGATCAGGTCACCTCTATTACAGCCATACTTTCATAAAATACTTTCTCCTACAATTAAATTGAGTGATGGTGTGTGCTGACATTTAGCTTCAAAATCTTAAGATTCTTCATCAATTTTTCAATCACTGACAATCCCATTCATCCTTCATGATGGCTGGCAAGAGGGGCATCGATATTCAACCAAGCATAAACTTGATTCAAACCACACATAAAGAATTTGAGTTTGGGTTAATCTGTTCAATATTCTAGTTATGTTCATGTCAATTTTAAACATTTTTAGTATCACTAGCTATTTTTTTTTATATAACATTATCTTCATCATGAACAACCCCAAATCTCAAGATCTTGAACATACTCAAAAAATATTTTATTAATGTTATTTTATTACTCTTTTCTAATCTTAGGATAATACTTTATTTTATTTTTATTTTTCACTCATTCATCTTAAAGTCCAAAACTAATAAGCTATATTGGGTACATAAATTTTCATTTTGAATGACTTGAAAATCTTTACAGTCCAAATAATATATATTTTTTATAAGAAATAATTAATTTGAGTTTTTTTTTTATATCCATTCTTATGAGTGATGAAAAAAATAATTAACTATTTATTTTTTGTAAATGAAAATTCGTATGAAATTAGAAATTCTTTTTACTTTGTTTTGTGTTTTTGTGTCCAATTTGGATAGTTGTATTCATTTAGGGTTGCGTTGACTCTATCCCTTCTTAATTTATCTGTTTTTTGTGTTGGGTTTGGGTTGAGATTGTAGTAATTGGATGTGACCTTTTTATAAAATTTTAATGCATTATTCTAACTTAGCATTGAATATTTTATCTCGTGACCTAGGTTGATTAGGGACTTACAAAGATTTAGGCGAAGATCTATTAAAGTAGTTTGGATTTGGATGGCATCATATTTGAGGTGATAGTGATCAATTGGGCATGACCATTTTGATTTGATTGGCCATGATCATGATATTATTGATGAGGGTATGACTGACTATCATGATATGGTTTATTAAAAATGAGAATATGCGTGATCATGATGGTTTAATTGATAATGATCCTGATGCGAATTAAATTGTTTACCCCTCATAATTTTTTGAATATCTTGGAACTCAAGTATCATCTTAAGAAGAGCAAGATGTATGATACCTCCTATCATAAGAATGTTCTTTAAAAGGATCATGATGGGACATATGTGCTACATATCTTATGCATGAGCTTAGTAGAATCTTATGATGGCATAGGGGTCACAAAGGTGTATTTGCATCGATAGGAATTTTATTCGAAATTGTTTGGAAAGAACTACTTGAAATGGTAATGAGGCAATAGGTGAAGGCAAATTGGAGTGGTGGGGGGAGTGCGAGTGAGTGAGGGTTTACAGGAGGTGCAATAGTGCTATTGTTAATTGGAAAGTGATGGTTGGTTGCCTTGTTTGTTGTAGACACCAAATGATGGGTGTCTAATCTTTGGATTCTACGAAACAAAAAAGGGACAATTCAATTGAGTGCCTCATTTTGGTCCCCTCTAGTTAACCATGAGACATAGTAGAGACGAATAATTTAGACACATTTCCTATCAACACTTGTCTTTGCTTTTACTAATTAGGATTGAGTGAGTAGAAAATTAGTTTATCTAAATTGTGACAAAACATATATTACATTTCATAATCCTCTAATTTATTCATCATAATCATTAATATGGAATCTTGAATAACTTAAGTTAAAGCTTCTAAAAAACTTTATAAAAATATTATACCTATCAAAGTCTTTAATTTATATTATTAACATTCTTTTTCTATGGTAAATCTAAAGCTAAACATCTGATTTGCTATGGTGTAGGAAAAATTGAGTCAAATGACTAAGGCTCAAACTACTATTTTCCCCTGTTAGAAACAACAATTATTATAATATTTGATGAGCTAAATGTTTAGTGAATAAACAATTCTAATAGTTCAAATATATAAGAAAAAAAAAATATACCATGCTGATCATTTGAACCAATGTGAGCATTATTAGTATTCATAAATGTGATTAGCCCACTACAACAAACTTTAAATCAGAACATTTCTCTTTAGTTAAGTAGGTGAAAGATTCAATTATAAGCATACACACAAATGTTTGCAAGAAATTAAATTACTACTAGTAAGCATCAATACATTCGAATACACTATAAGCTAGTTAGATGCTGTTATCAAATTTTTTATTTTACTTTCATTTGCTTTCTTATTCTTACCCATCTTTGTTTTAGAAATATGATATAATGGTTGTATAAGCTTTGACTTATTTATATCATTTTTGACGTCACCTAGCTTGTAGGTCATAATAACCATTCATAAGATTTGAACTTAACCCATTATAGTAGTTGTCAATGACCACTCAATCAAAGTTGAACTGTACCATCTCAATTTTTCATTATCGAGAGTTTAGAATCCCTTTTGTTTTCTAATGAGGCTCACATTGTCAGTATTTTTCCCTCTTGATGCATAAGTATAGTTAGCTAACGTATTCTACATTATATGACCTTTTATAGACTTTCTTTGTTTTTACCATTATTATCATAAGCCTTTAAACTAGTCAAAATTGTTATGCACCTACTATGAATCAACCTTTATTAACATACATCAAAGATAAAAGAAGCATGACATGTAAAGTCAACATCTAAATACTTAAATATTCCCCCTATTTTTATAAGCAATTTTATGGCTTGAGTTAAAGAGAAATATCTTGAATTCACTTAAATTAAAAAAAAAATCATATAAATGCATAAATTTAATGATAAAATTAAGTGCCAATAACATGCTCAATATGAAGTAAGTGTATGAATTTTTGCATAGTTATTTAATATAATTGGAAGAGTTTACAAATATTAGGTCAACGAATAATTTATTTTCTAGATTAGAGATGGAGTATCTCACTGCAATTAAAGCATTTTCTTTAGAGAGAATCTTCTTAGTTATATGTCCCCAAAGTCTTTGGGAAGAATTTTCTTAGTTCTATGTTCCTAAAGTCTTGTTCTTTCATAAGCAAACAAATAACTATAAGTTTCTCAATTTATAACAATTTCCTATGTAACATTACAATTTCTACTCAAAATAACCTTAAATATTTTTTGTGCTTCGAAAGGATTGCTCCTCATTCAAGTCTTAAGCCTAGCAACTTGAACCCAAAGCCACTTTGTCGTGGGAAAAACAAAAAAACTGGATTTTACCTTCTAAAACCTACCTCTATTTTTCTACTTTCCTTTTCTTCTTCCCTTTCTTCATTTCACGGTTAATCTTGGAGCCCTCCTTTTTTGTCTAAATGACCAAGTGAAATTAAAGTCTTCATGAGCTCATGGCCTTCATCATCATGACAGTCAGATTAGATGATAAAAGATAAGCAATAGCAGCTCTCTAGAAATCCTAGCCTGCATCGTCAAGTTGCATCATTATGTATCTTTACTTTTGTACTCGCCAATTGTGAATGATGATTAATGTAACTTTCTCTTAAAAATAATGGAATTACGAGTGAGGATCAAATTCTATTTAGAGGGGACAACTGCAAAGGTGCATGAATCCTTTCAAATTATGAATATATTGACTTTCTTATTTTTGAATTTATAAAATAAAAATCATAAGAAATTAGAATGGCAAATAAACATTGAAATTTCAAGTTGATGATACACAGATGTATAAGAATTAAGAATATTAAACAAATATGCATAAATTAAATTTTTTAAGTTCTGCGGAGTTGGAGGCTTCAACATTGAAATGTGCATTTGAAGGAGCTATGAATAAATTTGGTTCAATAGATCTGATTTTAATTTTTGAGCAATCTCGTCAAATTAAATAAATGGTTGTATAGCTCCGTTTTTTTTTGATGAAATTAACCATAAAAAACAAAAGGTTGAATAGCACACGATGTCATATTTTTTAAAGATAAAAGGAAAAAGGAGTTCTACGTAAATTTGAGAAGTACAAGTTTTGATGCATTAAGATGGCGGGAAGCTTCCTATTTTTTTAGTGGAGGATAAAAATTAACTTCTTCAAATATTCTTTCTGTTTTTCATACTTTTATTTATCTAAATTTTCTTTTAAGGTTTTTTATGTATTCTTATTTGATATCTCATCAATATATTTACAGTTTTTACATTTTTAACGTACTTGCTTATGCACCAGGTGCAGTCTTGCAAGTTATCTTCTTGGCTTGGATTTGAGCAAGGCAGATAGCACAAATAATATTCTAGACGTATTTTCTCCTGTATTCTTAACATTGCTAGATGCACTTCTATTGCGTGCTCAGGTTTCTCTCTTCACCTTGATATTCTTCTCTAGTACTCTCCCTCCCGTTTGCCCTCAGTCACCCTTCTCACCCACTAACCCACCCCTTACCTGCTTATGGTTAGACTGGTGCATTTCAAGTATTATTTTCTAGGTTCTATTTCATACTAGTTATTTTGATATTTTGTTAGGTCATATTCATGCCCAAGTGCCTAACAAACTATCATTTTCTTTTTTTTTCACTACTCGTGTAGGAACAAGTTCTTTTGTTGGTTATATAATACTGATTTCACCTTCTAATCTATTTATAGATTCGCCAAATTAGCTGATTTAAATAGTATTTATTATCATCTGCATTATTGGCACATGAATCTAGAATGCCTTGTTCAACTTGTTACATGAAACAGTATCATTTTTTTGCTTGTTTGTACTAAAAACATAGGTTATTATTTTTTTTTTTTTGTGATATCCATCCTAAGTATGTAATAATTGACAGTTTCAAATTTCATTTTGGAGGCATTTTTCTTGTGACTTCCTCCTACTGGGAAATTAAAAATTTAATTATAATTCAAAATTATTATATGCAATTTTTTTTAATGAACTATTCGGAACAGGATAAATACTGAACTATTTGTGAGATAAATATTTGCAATCGACCCATGTGTTCTGATGTTTTATAACAATAAATAGCTTTCCGTGTGATCACAACCTGTCAACCTGAATGGCAGCGAACATAATTCCTTCAATACTCTTTTGAAATCATAAATAACTGGCATTTTTAAATTTTTTTTTCTCAGGGAATTATACTGAATATATTTTGAGATTATTTCCCTTTTTGTGAGTGAATCTGAAGTTAGAAGGTGGGTTACATGCAATTTAGCTGTACTGAATATACTCTTAGCTTTTTCCCCCTTTTGTAAGTAAATGTGAAGTTAGAAGGTTGGTTACATGCATTTTAGCTGCTAATTTTTCCTTTTATTCTTTTCCCTATCTTAAACCGGTCACTTGATTTGACAGGTTGGTGATACTGTATGTACTGTAAACAATGGAGCATTTGTCATTCCTGATGGACTCATTAACTTTCGCACAAATTTGGAGGAAATCCTAGTAGATATCTGTCAGCTTCTGGGACCATCTATATATATGCAGAAGGTGCTTGAAGCTGAATGGCTTTCCTAGTATGTAGATTTTTGTTGTCATTCAGGCTAATAGCTTTTTGGTTGGTCGTGCAAGTTTAGATGCCTTTTATGTTGGCGAGTGATGAGTCTCGATATGGGCATAAGATGGAGGAAAAGATAGGAATTTTCAAAATTTATTTTCTATTTTTCATAACTACTGTTCATAACTGTGATAATGAGCACTGTTTTGAGGCAATGTTCATGTATGATGGTATTGTAGCACTACCTTAGTGCTGCACACACTATAACGAGCCAATAATCTAAGTTTAATTATTTTGTTTAGAATAGGTTGGACTTTGTTTTTCCTCTTTTACATGGGTATGATTCCTTGTTTTAACAGTCTAGGTTTATTAGGGACTTATGTTCTATAATGCGTTTGTAATTAGTTATATAATACGAGTAAAATTTTTTAAGTTTTTGTATTTGTTTCAATACCAGAAGAGGAAAAAAAGACTAAATTCTTCCTTTGGTTTGATCCCAAGAAATTCTTACTGTCAATGCCAGTGAAGCAGAACTCGATTGTCAGGGTTAAGATTCAGAGCGATGATACTTGATAATTTATCTGGATAGTTGCACAAATGCTGAATGAATTAACGCACACAATTAGTAGGGGATCAACGTTCCCAACTTAGATTTAGAAGTATGCATATGTAACCTTGGAAGAACCAAACCAAGCACACGCTTAGGAATGGCCAAAATTTCATTAAGAGAGCATATTTTATTATTCAATGATAATATCCTAATACAAGTATGAGATTTCGTTATCTACATAAGCAGCATTCAAGACTAAGAGGTTAGTAACCAGTATATAAAATACTAATGTCCTTAAGAGTTTTCAACTTGAAACAAACATTCAAGACTAAGAGGCTAGTAACCAATTTATAAAATACTAATGTCCTTAAGAGTTTTCAACTTGAAAAAGGCATTAATAAACAGAAGCGGGTGGCTGCAGGGGAAGAAAGCTAGGATGGCAAGTGGAATGATCAACCTAGCTTGCTAAAAATGCATCCAATCGAAGTTTCTGAAGTTGTATGATAATGATGCATCAATTCTACCGGCTCATAAAAAATAATTTATTGTTTTAGGGCATTGGAAGAAATAATTATTCATTTATAAAATAATAACCTGATACAAGCATGTATTTAGAGAAGGGCCACAAAACATGGCAATTAATGGGAAATCACAATAAGAATATCCTAAGGATATATTTAGAAGAGGCTGCAGTGATGCTAAATTTCAGATATGACAATCTTGATGACATTTGTGCCATGTTTTTATAGAAATTGGCAGCTATGCATTTATCAATGGAGCGAAGATTTTAACATATAGGCTGTTAATATGATACTTGTTTCATTTTCTATTAGTTTGAAAGTTTTCCAGATCTTTTTTTTTTTTTTCAGGATGAGTTAATTAAAAAGAACACATTTATAGAAGCACCACTATGCTGTGACTGTATGATGTTATGGTATTTTTAATATACTAAGTGTGTATTTATGAAAATTGCTGGTGTAGCTTCTTGAAAACCACGTGGACTTCATGTTACCACCACTATGATTGTTTTACCTTTTTTAGTTCTTTTTTGTTGTGTGATTCCCCATTTCGAATCCCTTCCAGTCGACTATGTGGTGTAATAGAGACGAATAGTCTAGTCAGACTCGTTTTCTAACAATATCTCCCATGATTATTCTTTTAACTTAGATTTGAGTGAGTAGAAAACTGATCTGATTAAATTATCACAAATTGTATATCATCTTTTAATTGATTCATCATATTCATTGATATAGAAGTGTGCATAATTTAAATAATCAAAATAGATTATAGAGCTTCTAAAACTTTCATAGAAAATTTTTATATTACCAAAATCATTAATTCACATCATGCATGCTTTTTTTATATTACATCCCATAATTGTGCATCCACTCATAATACTAGGTTCAAGTCCCTGTCTATGACCGCCTACTTTTTTTCTTTTTTGAAAAAATAATTATCATAATATCTAATGAGTTATATGCTCAACTAGTTAAACAAATTTACTATATCTATATTGTTCAAATATATTAGAAAGAAGTAATAATATGCATGCTGAACTTTTGAATTAACATGAGTAATTTTTTTTTATAGATATTACGAGCTTAAAGCTTTGATAACTTTTAAGAAAGTTGACTTTGACATTCAGCTATATAAAAGACATAATTTTAAGCTAGTAGCATGAAGTATTGTAAAAATATGTAATGAACTTGTCAAAATTTTAAATCATAAAACACATGTACAAATTACTTGTAGCATTTTGATTTTCATTATCATTACTAACTATTTCCTTAGAAATGTCATAAGATGTCTATAGGCTTTTAGTACTTTTAGTACATTTATATGTTTGGTCGTTGTCTCGATCGTTGCCCTAAAAATCATTGATAAAATTTTGACAATTCAATACAACAATTATTAATGGCCCCTGAACTTTAAAGTATCAACTTTGTAGGATCGAGAGTCATGAACCATTCTTTTTTTTTTTTTTATAAAGGCTCATCTCTTCAGAGCTTTTGCCTCTATCTATGCAGGTTATCATAGTCTACCTACTTATTCCATATGATATAACTTTTCATTGATTTCTTCAAATTTTATATCATCATCATTAACATTTTAAATCTCATTGCTTAGCATTAATGTTCAACTTTTATCACTTAATCTATTTAACATGCATGATGAGTAGACATCTTATGTGAAATTCAACATCTATACATTTGAATGAATAATTTAAATTTTCTTGATTAAAAATATATTTAATTTCTTTAAATAAGTGATCCAATAAAAATTCATTAAACTTGTTAAATGCATCATATCATGCTCAATATGAAGAAATAACATCTTGCAATTTAATTAAATTATATAATTTGACAATTCTTAAATACTAGGAGTTATTTGCTCTTGATATTAGAGATTGAGTATCTCACCTGAATTACAAGATCATTTTTAGGATGAATATCTTCATTTCTATTGCATCGACCTCCTATTTTTTTGTAGATAACCTAATGAAAATAATTTTCTCAATTCAAGATAAATTTCTAATTTGTCTCGTCAAAGTCAAATAGGTTAACATCAAACTGTATTTTTTACCTCATGTTAATTTCTCCCATTTAAGCCTTCAATTCTATAACACAAATCCAAACTCAATCTATTGAAGAAAAAAATTAGGATTCTTTCCGATAGTCTTGAATTCTCCCTTCCTATTTGTTTTTTTTTTCTCCTTCTTCCTCTCTTTTTTCTTCTTCTCTTTCTCCCAATTTTCTTCTTCTTCTTCTTCCCTTCTTCTCTTCTTTTTTCCTTCTTCATTTCTTTTTATTTCCTTTTTCCTTTTACGTTCATATTTTCTCTTTTTTTTCTTCTTTTTTTTAACGTCTCGATTTGCTGTACTGAGCTCACCCTGCCCTTTTTTATTTTTCATCTTCTACCTCTCCCTCATTTCTTCTGTTATATATATATATATATATATATATTCGAGACGTGTGAATTGTTGGACATAATTTCTAGAAGAAATTTTATCTCACATTTTTTTTTTAAATTTGAGTGTTACATGCTGTAGCTCCTCTCCACTGATCTTGTGGGTTAAAGTTTGACTCTAAGAATGATGTTTGTCACGCATCTTCTGCAACATAGGAAACTATCACGTGCATAATTCTGAAGTAGCAGTTTTATTATATTTTATTTTTTGGGCATCCCTTGTATACTGAATTATGTCTTTTAATAATATTAATGATAAGTCACATTTATAGCATCTTATTATTATTATTTTTTATCGAGGCATGAACTATTTCCTACTTATCAGTTGGTTTGTGCAAGTATCTACTTTTGTATTCAGTTTTGCATTAAAAGTGTATGTGCATTTACTTGAGAAACCTTTCTTGTAGCTTTTGAATGATGGATGGACCACTTCAAAATCATCAATTCCTTGGTTGGATGTGGAAACAAGATTGTTTGCACTAAATCTGGTGAGCACATCTACTTGTGATGGCCATTCATTTTTTTTAAGCTTCTGAGATGCAGGGTACTGAATAATTGCTTTTGATGATTTAATTAAATGTGTTCCTACTGCCCTCTTCATGCATTATAAATCATTTGTACTGATCTTAGTCTCTGCTCGCTGCTCCATGGTTTGTCCATGCACTAGTGTGATCTTTTGCTTGTTCGCATATCTTGGCTTCTTATAGTAATAACAGCGAATTTGAATGCTTAGATGTTTTTCTCAATTATTTTTGATAATTATCTTGAATTAAGAATAAACTTCCAGAATTCTTGTTCTTAAATGGCCTCACGTGCACATATGCTTACAAAGATCTATTAGAAAAATTTCACACGGAAATCCTGCTTACTGGAGTAAAGGAAATTGGTGCTAAAAATTGGGCTTGGTTGGCATGACTTTTTGTTTTGTTTTGTTTTTTGTTTTTTTAAATTTTGGACAAAACATGTTTTTAAGTGTGTCGTGAGTGTTTTTATTTTTTCATTAAAAAAAAAAAAAACAAATCAAGTTATTTAAAAATCACTCAAGGTGACTTTTAGGCATTTTTTCTTATTTTCAAAGCATGAACTTCCAACCATCCGACCTTGCAAAACCTGCCAGCTAGCTTTGCGCCAACTTTTGGCCAGTTCATTGACAGCCACGGGCCTAGTTGATGCTCGCCGTCAGCCGACTCCGCATTGAAGTTGACAATTTCTACATCTGGTTCAACAACATATCCAATCTCGACACCAGGCCACTCTCTTCCAAGCAAATGATTCATGTGATGATAATTAAAATAAAAACTAAAAGCAAAAGTAGCTTATATTTAAAATGTTATACATGTTTTTATTTCATATCAAAATATAAATAGAATAAAAATAAAATAAAATAAAAAAAAAATTAATACAAAAAGGGATCTTAAATGACCGTTAAAGTTTAAACCAAATTTGATTGCTCATATGCATCATGCAACTTCTTTTTTCTTTTCCTTCACTACTTGTTTACAGATGTTAATTGTTGTTTGAGCATGTTATGAACTATTAATTCCTAGTGGATGCTGCTACTTAGTTCCAAATATGTGGCATACATCTTAATGCATGTTGCTGGTTGATTTCAAAGATAACTTGGGCTTTGAAGGATGATTTCTGGTAGGGTCCTTTCATCATGCCCAAAAACATATGCCATGATAAAGATTCTCAACTCTGTGAGATAAAGCTCACATGTGTACTTGCATGTGTGGCAAAGCATAAAATCCAGGTTATCCAGCCCATGCATCAAGCAGGACCCATGGAAGCTGGTACATCCAAATAGAAGTGAGCTAAGTAATCTAAGGTGATGTTGGTGTTTGATGTGAGGCGCTCTAGTGACTCAGGCGACCCAGGATCTAGGTTTTAGATCAACTTTTGCAAAAACCTCAAACTCTATTCTTGCATGTGCATGTTTGATGCGAGCAAAAATTTGGGAAAAGCCCCCAAATTTTTGCAAGCAAAGACTAAACTTTCCTAGGTATTAAAAATTACAAAGATTGCACCAAAATAGACAAATTACAATAAAAACAAACTTTAATATTATAAAAGACGCTTACAAGACACTTACAAACTTTGACGACATAAAGACAACTTAAACACCTAAAGTTGCTTTGTTTTGAGAAGAAGGATACAAGTGGAAGGGAACTTGCGGATAGAATAATAGATTAGAAGCCGAGAAGAAGATAGGAGGACAAGCTCGCAAGCTTTCCTAGGAGAAGGGAGGAATGGAACAAGCTCGCAAGCTTTTCCACGAAGAAACCCGCAGGTTTTTATCCAAAAAATAGCCACATAACCATCCTTTTAACATCCCAAAACACCTATTTATAGAAGAAAAGGGTAGCCAAACAGCCACCTAAAACTACTAAATAATCCCATTAAATCTTATAATATAGAAGGCCAAAAGACATAAAAAACTGCACAGAAAACTGGGAAGAAGCTAAGCCAATAATCACTCAAAACGGGGAGGAACCACCCCAAACCCCCCCCCCCCCCCCAAAATAGTCACGGGAAACCAGCCAGCAAGGGACCCGAAAAGCCAGCACAGGAGGCAAAGCATCAGGCCAGGGAAAACAAGCCAATAAGGGTCCCGAGAAGCCAGCACATAAGACAAAGGGGCAAGGCACGGGAAACCAACCAGCAAGGGGAAACTGAGAAGACAAAAGGAGGAGAAGAGGCACAAGTGGGGAAACCAAAGAGTCTTTAGAGAGGGGAGTAAAGGAGGGGGAATCTAGATTTGGCAATAAATACACAAATTATGAGCTGAATAATAAGAAGAGGCTCATTAATTAGTTGACTCTAGTAGAACTTACAAAAATTTCAACTCAACTTGTTTTGACCCCCCTTTGCCTACATCAATGTTTTACGAGTTACCTGTTGACGAGCATCTGCAGCGGATCTTAAACTGATAACCTAATTTCTTTGGTACTGCATGAAGCAATGAAAGTTATTATTTCGTAAAATGAAAGGAGGCATGATAAACAAAAATGATGGAAGAAATGAAATGTACCTGAGCAGGATGCTCCAACAGATATTGAATGGCTATTTAAGGAGGAAGGGCCAGGCATCGGTGTAATGTTAAAAATTGTGGGTGTATATGCCTGTACTTTGAAAGCTTCACTATGTATCTTTTCTTTCACTTCAGATGTTTCCTTGGGCTAAGAAACAGAGGTATCTAAGGGAAGAAAAGAGTTTGTAGGATATGCCAATATACATGGCGTATAGGAGTCAGAGACACAGAAACTCAGGTGAATTTACTTCAAAATCTTCAAAAATATTAGGCCCGACTCCAACTAACATCCTTGGCTGCAATGTTGCCTCCTCATGTGATGCCTCATTTTCGGTTTAGGCTATCATGTGGAGTAACAAATTTAGCGGACAATTTGTGTAGATATAATTTTCACCAAATCCATTTTGATTCAACTTGTCAGGATTGAATGAGTGAAAAGTATTCTTGCTCGATCATCCTGAAAGTGCACCTAACATTTAATAATATCTAATAGATTCTTCATATACATTGCAATGGGATCATACAGATTTAAAATTAAATCAAATATAGTGTTTCTAATATAACTTCCAGAATAAATTCATACATACCCAATGTCTTTAATTTATATCATCAACATACATCTCTTTTACAATAATTGAAATTATACAATAAACAATATTGATGATAGAGAAAAATAGATTACCTGCTCCCTATTGCATGTGCCCGTTTGCTTTTCTTGAAAGCATAGTATAGCATCAAATAAGCTACGAACTCAATGAGATAAATAGTTCTAACTTAAAGTCAAACATACAAGGAAACGCTTTCAAATGCTTTGTTGATCATAAGAGCTGTACGAAGCATTTAGTTTTAAATATGCATGATGAGCTTAGGGTAGTAGATGCTAATTCTGTAAAAGAGTTATTAAGCATATGTGATTATAAATCTTAGCAAAAATCTGAAATTGACTGTAAATTTCTCATTTTTTTCTTCTTCCTTCTTAATGGTTAATTATTTGAAAATATGGTATTTAGAAGGAAGCATTAAGTATAAATACAAATATAAAATTTAAAATGACAATAAAAAGGGGGAAATTAAAATGACAATAAAAATACGAGTGCTTCTCGATTGAAGAATACTGTACTTTTGCTCCTAGAAACTTTTGTAACAAAGAACATTCTTGTGGCCTTCCTCTTTGTGTTGCGCCAATAATACACCTAGGGACTCATTATGTTATGTACAACGCTTTCTCCAATTTGGCATTGCAAATATTTGGACGTAACAAATATTTCTTGATGTTATTGAATACTTCTTGGCATTTTTTGTCCCATTTGAAGCAAACATTCTTTTTAATTAATTTTGTTATTGGTTGAGTTTTGCTTGATAGTTTTGATATAAATTGTTAAATAAATACTATTTGTCATTATAACGAATGAAGTTGTTGAAGACTTTTTGTCAATTATCAGATTGAATTTGTTAGGATTGATCTTTATTCCTCTATATCATACAATATAAACATTTTTTTAATAAACCTTGAAAGCACATTCGAGATGATTCTTTTTGAGTTTAAAATTTCATATTCTCTCAAATACAATGCTCAGGTTATTGAGGTGATCCTTATGGTTCTTTCTTTTGATGATGAAATCATCAACATGACGCTCTACTTTCTTATGGATTAAGTCATCGAAGATGCGTGTTACTAGCTTTTAACTTATAACTTCAATATTTTTCACAACAAAGGGTATGGCCATGTAACAAAATATGCCATTTGAGCTTTCTAAATTATGTATGTTTTTCATCCTCAGGAGCCATTTAAATCTGATTATAGTTTGATGATCAAATCTATAAAAGAGAACATGTCATAGTTAATTGTATTGACAATTAGCAATTCAAATATGAAGAACCGAAAAGTCATTGTTTGGTCACAACTCATTGATGTCCTAGAAGTCAATCTAGATATGAATTTGACCATGTTTCTTCTTCATGGGAATAATATTAGCTGTCTAATCGACATGTTTCTCTTTTTAAATTAAGCCCACTTCAATGAATGTCTGGTCTTTATCATCAATTAATCTTCAATTTCTAATCTCATTCACTTTGGAGCTTGTTTGATTATTATTTCGCCTGATTTGATAGCTAATATATAAATTTCCGCATTAGGGGATAAGAAAAACATCTCAGCATTTTTCCTCAAGTAGAAGTTGATGAAGGTCGAGGGAGGATCTTGGTTCTTAAATTAATTTCTTATAGTTCATCAATCATAGCAACTTGTCCACCATCTTCAAGTTCTTTAGGTGTAGGTTTGGTTTTTATGTTTTGATTATCCGAGAGGTCAATCTCATAAAGGCCCTCTTCACTAGTGCCTTCAAACTCAATTTATTGTACAATTGTATAATAAGTCTCTTTTCGAGGATATTTTAGTAAAATAAATTTGAGACTATTAGCTGTATAATTTTCACTTCTTTGTGACACCTACGGACT